CTCGGACACCCGTCTATATATCTATGTCAGAGTAACGTTCGGTTCGAGCGCTTGTATTTATCCCATTGCATTGAAAAAAAATCACTTGTTACAATGTTGTAAATGTCTCATATATATAAAGCGGAACAATTGTTTGCAATTTTAGGGACTTGATACATGAGCTTCGTCCTCGAAGGATTCATAGCTTTTGGGCCCGTAGAACGCAGCTCAACGTAAGAGATCCATTTCCATTCTCGCTGGACATGCCTGCGACGAAGTGGGTGCGACTTTGGCAAAAAGTTCCTCGAACACGTGTTTCTCCTTATCCGAATCGGTTACGGTCGAAGAATTTGGACGGACTTCCTTGCTGTGCAAAACAGCCGAGATCGGTCGATCACGTTGTTTTACAAGGGAAACACGTACGTCCTGGAGCTTCTTTCCTCGGGAAACACTTCAGATCCAGGGTCCCCGTTCGGAGGACTCTCGTTTAATTGTTAGAGGAACTCGATGGATTTGTTTTCCTTAACTATTTGGTTAATAGACTGACCCGCGTCTTCGATATTCCTCGCTGCTTCGTCATTTCCGAGTTAGGTCATTGTCTTCCTAAAAATATTGACTGTTTATTTTCCATGCGTACAATATATATACCTTACCGTAGTCGTTGTTGTAGATCTCCCATGCATTAGACGCGCACTATGTTTGGATTGCAACGAGCATTTGTTGAGACACTTGGACCCCCGCTGATGCATGCTAGCCAGTGCCTCGATAGTTACAGTAAGAAACATTGTCGCAATTGAAAGCGAAATCGTGTCGCGACCGGGCTGATTTCTCTTTGGAAAATTCTCACCGACGAATCGGAACGGTGGTCAACTAGAGAGGCACTCGATCGGAATGACCCTAACCGCGAAATCGGCAGAGGTTTCCCTCCAGAAAAGACAGTTTCGAATTTTTGTTGTACTCGAACTTTCTTTCACGCATCTTCCCGCTGCTGTTTCGATTGATTCTGTTCTCTTGCTCGCTTCAGCCTTTTTAATCGTTCTTGTCCGTTCGTTTTGTTCGCGGACCCCACCCTGCCCCCCTCTATTTTTTTTCTAGAATTAACGGCGACCTAATACAGAACAGAATATTAATGATTGTATTTTCCAGGTTCTATGATTTACTTTCGGAACAATTGCTCCATTCGAGCTGCGGCATATACTTACTTCGGTCCCGTGGAAGGAAAACAGAAGGAAATCGGCAAATCTTTCCCGTTTACCGTCCTCCTCGTATACATGGTCGGTGGACTAGCTTTTTTCTTTGTCGCTCCTGTGTCTCCTTTACGATCCGCGACTTGTGTTCACGCGACTACAGAGCCGAGAAAGAGAGCGAGCGAGTGAGAGAGAGGGAGAGAGAGAGAGAGAGAGAAAGAGAGAGAGGAGAGAGAGAAAGGATAAAATCGACGTGCGTTCGCACAAGGGCGATTCGTAATTAGCAATTAATTCGGAATTGTCGTCGATTCGATCGCGGTTCCGGACCTGTCGAGCTATTTTTCATACCACCGCGGAGGATCGTAACGAGAACAAACAGAGAGAGAGAAAAAAAAGAGGAACACGAAAAAAGAAAACACTATTTTTGGGTTGAGTGGGACGATAACGAAAAAAAAGGAAAAAAAAGAGAAAGAGAGAGAAAAAGAAAAAAACTAGTTGCTGTAACGACGTACGTTCGAGAGAATCGCATCGTTTTAAGGGTAAATTCATGTGTGCAATAATTAAGGAGCTGCACGGTTTCAGCGTATTAGAAAGAGAGCGAGTGAGAGTGAGAGAGGAGAAGGGAGAGAAGGAGAGATTGGGAGAGAGTGCGTGCGAGACAGAGCGAATGGTGAAAACGGTTACGAGCTTTACGTACACTAGTCAAGGCACGAAAAGCAAAAACATCAGTTTGTCAATGGTGCAACTTGTCGCATCTGAGCGATGGGAATGTTCGATGATTCCTTTGCTGCACGGATCAACTGTGATTTATTGTAATTCAGTGATTAGTTTTTAAGGGGACAAATTTTTACGAGGCAAAACAAAAAAAGAGTAAATAACGAGCAATGTACAAAACAAAACGAAAGGGCGGGTGGGTGGGGGGTAATTCAACGCGAAACACGAATCTCGGTATGTTAAAAAAAGAAAAGAAAGAAAGAAAGAAAGAAAAACGATACAAAATAAGAAGAAGAAGATGATGAAGAAGAAGAAGAAAGGGAGAAGAAGACAAAAAAGCACGAGACGAACAGAAATACGGTCTGCCGTTCTTTTTTTGGGGAGAGAGAGAGAGAGAGAGAGAGACGTGCACTCGACTTTTTAAAAACCGAAAACAAAGAAATTCCTGTTGCACAGTGTATCACTAGAGCACGTATTGAAGAGGATGTGTTTGTGTTCTCTGTTTGACTACAGTGTAGACCGCGTTCTTACGTTATTGTGTTTGAAAATCAAAAGAAAGCAAAAAGAAAAATGGAGGGAGTGAGAGAGAGAGAGAGGGGGCGAGTGGGAAGAGGAGAGAAGAGATGCTTGCCGCGAAGTAATCGTTCTATAATCGAGAAGTTTTAAGAGAGAGAGAGAGAGAGCGTGAGAGTGAGAGAGAGAGAGAGAGAGCTTAAACAAACGATACGAATATAGACTTTATAATTATATTATCCAGCACAGTCGTGAATCGTTTAAACGAGAGCAACATATTTATATATATATTATATATATATAGTAAAACGGGGAAAGAACCATGTTTTCGATATTTCTACGTTTCTAGGGGAAGAGAGGACGGTCTTGTAAATAATTTTCGTTCTTCGTTTCGAACATTTTGCGTTCTCCGTACTTCTATTTATCGATCTGCAATACACCTAAGAGGCGCAGCACATATAACGCTAGCTAAAAGTATTACCGTTCGAATACTCGTGCAGGAGAGAAAGAGAGAACGAGAGAAAGACTCGGTTTCACAGTACGGAACAGGTTCGACGTAAATTTTCACGGTCGCATTTTTCACGTTGCAACGGCTGCACTCGGAATACAAAACCGTTTTACGCGTTTACACGATCGCAGCTCACCGTACACTTCCAATGAACCGCCGGTGCTTTTCGGACACCGGGTAGATCGAACGGGTGCTCGATCGAAGCTTCCATTTACGTAAGATCCGATTCCTCGCGCGATCGATGGTTCCCTCCTTCCTGGAATGATCCGGGTTGCCGTTGGACAGGTTTCCGCCGTCGTCTTCCAACCGAAGCGGAGAGAAGTTCGCGACAAATTTTACACGTATTTTATACGAAACGCCTCGCCTCTTCGTCGATAAACTGCCGATATGTTCCGCGAACTCCGTATTTCTCGTGGACAATTTCCCGGAAATAAGGTTCAGAAAGCAGCCTGCTGGATGAAAAGTGTTCAAGAACGTCGACGCGCCAGTTTCGGCTCGTCGAGCCTCGTCAACGGAACGAATCAATAATTTACATTTAGTTTCCGTTTCTTGCGATCGACGCGAGCAATTTTGATTTCTCCATAAGAACCCGCCAGTGTCTATCGGCGCGATCACCGTATGTGCATCTAGATTTTTCGGTAAATTAGTGGAAACAACTCTGCCATGTATTGATAATAATGCGAATAGCTTGAATACTGTAATCGACTCCTAAAGAATACATGGAGAACGTGCGACGACATGTCCGACCTGCATAATTTGAGCGTTTCGAGAGTAGCCGAACAGCGGTCGCCGCGCGTCGAAATCGCCGAAAATTCCACGTCGCAAATTTATTTCCGCTGAAACGGCCCGATTGCCAATCTCGTCGAGCTTAGGACATTTCGTGAGAGAAAGAAGCATATTCGATTGGGAAAACCATCGGCAACCCGAGATACCAGGCGGACCGGTCTCGTTCGAGGAAAGAATCGCGCGCGACGCGAGAGAGAGAGAGATAGAGAGATCGGTTCATTTAGAATTCCGATGGAACCATTCGTCGCCGCGTTTTCATTTCCATCCATTTCTTGTCCGTTTACACACGCATTCCAGCGGGGCCGACCTGCTGCTCCGAAAACCTTCCGTTTCGTTCTGGGCATTAATCGTTTGTTCGTCGCCGCGTTGCATATTATAGCGTGTACACTTGTCGTTTGCTGTTTTTGCCGGGTCGTCGTCGAACGGCGGCGGGATATATTTATTGCATATTTAAAGGAACAGGAAGAGCAAACACGGGGAAACAGAGGGGAGAAGGAGAAAACGGGAAAAGGGAGAGAGAACAGGAAAATCAGCGGGCAGCGCGCGATTAGGGGCGTGTCAAGAGAGAGTGAGAGAGAGAGAGAGAGACTATACTGCTTTCCGCGTTTCGAACGCGGCACGTGTCCGACACGTGTCGCGGCAACAAGGATGTGCGTCTTGTATCTTCCTTGCAGTAGGAGACACGATCATAGCTTAGTTTTGTACAAGCTTTGGTACTCGCGACGCAGAAACAGAGGGAGGACGTCGCGCAGAGGCGAACCGTCGCGGGTAACGCGACCGATTCTTCCCGGTCTCGTCGTTCGTTCAGTTAGGATCGCTCTCGTTAACATCCGAGATTCGACGAACAACCTTCGCGAAGTCCTTCTCCGAAGTCTTCTTGCTCGGTCGAAGATATACCGAACGGAAACGGAAATGATCGCTCGTTCTCGGATGAAAATATAGGGGCTGGAAACGCGAATTAAAAACTTCGCGGGGGTCGTCGGCACCCCCCTGTGTCATTACTACGGTCGGAAAGCCGCGAATGTGCTCTTTCTCGATGGACGAACCGCGGCGAAACGTGTCTCGATGGAAGTATAAGATTGGAGACGCAGAACGGAGTTACCGCGGCAAAGGCGAAACGCGCGCGGAAAAGTTGCGCCGGTCGTGTCTCGTTCCGCGGTCGTTCAGCAGTCGCGAATTATCTGCGAACCGCGGCGGATTTCGACCCAGATTTCCGGGCAATGATTCGACAGGCATCCGGCCGCGAGTTCCTGCAAAATCGCCTCTGCGCGCCGCGCCGGCCGTTTAGTTTCTCTTGTAAACGTTAATACCGATACCCTCTGAGTTTTTCGGCCCGTGGCGCAGGAACTCTTTTTCCTTCTTTCCTAACGAAAACAAGAAAAAGAAGAAGAAGAAAAGAAAACCGTTGCATACTATCATAGATTTATGGACACGAGAAGTTGTAACTCGATCGAAATGAACTCCCTTGTTGCATCGTCTTGTCGGGCGATTTTATTTTCAATTAGAACAGTTCTCCGGATGCTCTTCGATTTTACTGCCGTACCCTTCCGCTCTCGATTGTTCTCGACACTCTTTACAATTATCGCAAGAAAAACTCACATGGTATAAAGGAGAGCGAGCGAGAGAAAGAGAGAAAGAAAGAGAGAGAGTGAGAGAGAGAGAAAGGGGAGAAAATGATGAAAAAAATGATACGAAAGCATGCAAATAGTTCCTCCTTGTTATATAAAAATCGAAGACTTGTTATTAGGCAATTTTTAATTAAGCAATACCCATGAGGCTTACAAATCTAGTATTTAAGTAACGCTAGTTATATATAAATATATATATTATATATATATTATATATATATATATATCAAATGTGATACGTTATGAGTTGTGTGTATGTGAGAGGGTGAAAGACTATCCAAGGAGCAGGATGAAAGGGACGTGGTTCTGAATGGTGCGAGTATGGGAAAAACGTTTACGCGTGGGTGGATGACACGGCTGGCTGTGTGCGTGCATGGGTGGATTATGTTCGAGGGAGAGTGTGCTGGTCCGCGACGTTTATATTGTGCTGCGCAAGAAAGAACGTGAACTATTCCAAGGTACGCACCGCTATTACTTTTACCACCTTTACTATTCCAAATAAAATAACAATATGTTCAAGAGGTGACATCAAAAGAATCGCAGATATCATGAAATAAAGCATTCTGTGCGGAAACATAAACAAAACGTTATACATTATTCCGGACGTTTTTAGTGCTGAGGAAGGGTGAAAGTCATACAATGCAAAAGAAAACAAAAACAAAAAAATAAGAAAAAGAAAACAACGAAACGGAAAAGAAAAGAATTGTCAGTCTATCGTGCGCGTTTCCAAAGGAACAAAATTCAGTAGAGAACAAAAAAAAAGACCAAAAAAATCTAAAAAAGCAAAAAGAAACCGATCTACAATTTCGTGGACGCTCTCTTGACTTGGTTTCGAAAATATTCGGATAAACAAACAATAAGCGAATCGCTTGGACGTGACCGTGAGAAATATACATATATATATATTCGTTGGTCGAATTCGAGACGTAAAAAAGTAAAATGTGACAAATATAGAAACGAATAATAGCTTGGAGTTCACTGTTCTTCGGCACAAGATAAATGTCCTAGCACCTTTCTACTCGTCCAGACGCAAACTATCCTGCTCCGTCCCCGAATATGCTTGTTCCATGACCTCCGTTACGTTCTTGTTATAGGGCATCCGACTTGTTTGCAATTCACTGCGAACATGATCGTTTCTGTTCGCAAGTACAGGTGGCAGTGTATCGAATGCAAATGCTGTTCCATTTGTGGCACCTCCGACAACGATGTGAGTATTTACCATTATTTCACGGGATCAACCAAACCGGTGGTCGCCCACAACTTGCTCCAACTATCTGCCCCTTCTCAGGAAATTAGCGTTATCTTACGCTATTTTATTTTATAATGCCGCATCTCCGTATACAAATAGCATAAACGTTTGCTAAAGCGACGTTTTATCTATCTTTGGAGATCCCGAAGACTTTTCGACTTTGGCTCTGGATCTCTTCATGAACGTGCGCTATATGTACTGCAAAGGATAATAGAATAATAGAGAAGTCGATCTGTGATACTAAATTCGATTTATATTACGAATAGAGATGAATTAAAGAGATTTTGGAACTTGGCGTGGTACTCAACGTGGAATTTCTATTATATTGTTCCGTTCTGCACGAGACGACCGACTTCTGCGCGCTATAAATCACTCGAAGAAGCTGAATTAGTTGGAGCAAGTAGTGCGCGACACGCAGCCTCGATCGATGCTGAAATTACGCTCGTCGATGAGCTATTGTTCAGCGTGGAGGTTTTACGTGTCCTAACATTTGACGCCGGATCGGTCACGATATCGGATTGATTTTGACAAAAAGAAAGAAAAAAGTCTACGATAATTCTGATCTCTTTCAAGTAAACCGTATGAAAATCGATCGATTTGAAAGATTTTGAAAAGAAAAAAAAACGCGATCATCCGCTGGCGCGTTAGGTATCGTTGGAAGCTAATTTGAGACTGTTTCGCGAACTAAACTAGGATCAGCTGCTGTTCTGTGACGACTGTGATCGTGGATACCACATGTATTGTCTGTCTCCACCTCTTGCATCTCCTCCCGAGGGCTCCTGGTCTTGCCGTCTGTGCATAGCAGAATTTCATCGCCGTGATTAAAGCTCATTGTCTCGTAGATAAGTCACGGATTTTTATCTATTTGCTGTGGTGCAGCGGCCGTTCCTGAATTAGGAGAGTATTTTCAGAAAGAAGCACACTTTCGTTTTTTTCTGTTTTTAGTTTTCGTTTTTGTTCTTTTTTTCATCGTTTCCTTTTTCTTTTTTCTACGTTCGTTTTAACGTAGAGCGAAGTAACCACCGGGTGATACACTAACACGATTCGTCGACACGTTGGCAGCATTAACGTTTTCTTAATCTTCTTTTCTTCTGATTGTTTTCTTCGTTGAGACTCCCCCACCCCCACCCCCTGTCGCTCCCGTATTTTCTCCGTTCGTTCTTTTTTTCTCTTATTTAAGTTCGCGATAATGATTAAGACGAAAACGTTTGACGAAGTATTCGTAACACGATACAGATAATACTGCGTCAGTTGTCTCAGGCACTGGTGATCTCAGAAAATTAATAAATAATTGCGTATTATATAATTTTAGCTGAGCCCCCTAGCGTTTACCCATATTATTAGTTGTACGACAATGTACCGTCGATGGACTGTCCGGAAAATCTTTCTATAAAATCGTAAACCAGCAACAAAAAAAAACAAGAAAAGTAGTGTGTGAACGCGGAAACCGATGAGAGATACCATCGTGAGAACCGAGAGGACCCCTCCCCGCAACCGATTGTTGCCGGTCGATTGCATTTTTCATTGAGACGCGAGAAATATATTTTTTATTCGGTTTAGGAACGACCGCGTGACATGATTAACGATCGAGATAGGATGAGAACAAATTCTAGGCGTTAGTTTTCGGGAATCGATAACAATGAAGACAGAAAAACGCGATGAGATACTCTCCTAGTTCTAGGCCAAATTTAGTTTATAGCCATTGACATTCGAAGTTCGGTTGCTTTTTTACCGTTTTTCTTTTATTTCTTGAAAACTGCTTACGATCGAAACACCGAAACCGGAGATCTTGAATATCTGCGATAGAAATCTCTTAGCTCCTCGCTATCGACTGTCAGACCCCCCTCCCAAAAAAATGCACGAAAAGAACCGAGATTCAGAAGGAAGCAAAAAACGATAACGAGAGAAATTGATAATCTAGAGGAAAAAAAGATCATGATATTAAATAGTATCTGTTTCATAAAAATAGCGATAAATAGGACACCGTCTATTTATCTGTACGTATCCATGATACTAAAGCTTTTACACTTAATGACACAGCCATTAGTAGCAGTATAGCTATGACATACAAAAGAACTTGCAGTACCGCAGAAATTTATATTCTATTATTCCTTTTATCGTTAGTTCAGTATTTTTTATATTTTATATATTGAATGTACTTAATTTAAGATACTGTGGTGATATTTGGTATTCATTGATGTAACTGTTTTCCTTCCGTTTTTTTTCTTTCTTTTCTTCTTCTTCTTCTTCTTCTTCTTTTTTTATTTTAGTAACTTTAGGGTCACTTAATGACGTGGAATTGTGTATTAGGTGTCGCGTGCGAGAGAGAGAGAGAGAGAGAGAGAGAGAAAGTGAGAGAGAGAGAGAGAGAGAGAGAGTTAGTCTTATAAAAAACGTATTTTGAGTTTGACTTTGATTCAACGTGGTGAGTTTACATTTTATATCGCTTATTTTTTAACACACTGTATGCAAATTTGAATAAACATTAGTTTATGTAAACCGAATCGCTAACTTTTAGACAGTCTTATTGTGTGCCATGGAAAATTTTTCTGAATGCAGAAAGGATAATACATGATAAATAACGATAGAACTTCTTCGGGTGCTATACTTCAGGGATTAGTTTCCCTTTTGAACATTTTAGGATTAACTTTGTAAGATCAGAAGTCATGTCATGACCAAGGAAAACTATATTCTATAATTATAATAAATAATATATATTTGCGAAAGTGTAATGTAAGGTATCCATAAGCAAGAAACAATACTCAAGGAAATATAAGTTTTTTTATGAAAAGAAAAATAGGATTTGTATAAATTTATGATTACGTGTACTCATTTTATATTGTTCCACAAACACAGCAAATATTCCAATGTTCTGAACGGAGTATTCGCGAGGCAGATTTTGTTGTTACATGCGTGTCACTCAATTTCTACTAAAATATCGGATAGAGGTTTTCGTTGAAGATCAGGCACAGTAGCATCCTTTGCTGGATATCCCACTGGCAGTAGTACAACAAGCTTTTCATTCTGAGGACGTCCAAGAAGGTTGCGGATAGCAGGTCCACAATTTAAAGGAGTAGAAGTCAGAGTTACCAAACCTGCGTGCTAGATTTAAAATTCATATATTAAGATCCATATTATGCATAGGTACACAGTATAAGAAACTATAGTATTATAATGTTAATACTTGTATAGCGGTAATGAGAATACCACATGCGATAGATGTGCTTATTTCATTGTAATAATGAATTTTTCTTTTTCCATTTGGTAATATACCATACGTTTGTTTGAACACAAGTAACAAGTAAGGAGCAATAGTCAAGTATTCCTTCACCCAATTAGTTCTTAACGGAAGCAAATCTGTTGTCCATTTGAGCCCCATTCGCTGCTTGTAATTTATTTCTTCTTCTTTTTCAATGACGCATCGTATTTGCTCTTTCACCTTTTGGTTCGATACCACTACGAATGTCCATGGTTCTGTGTGTGCACCACTAGGCGCAGTGCCTAAAATAGACTCAAATGTGTAAGGAATTTTGTGAATGTAATTACATAATATTGTACCTGCAGCTTTTATTATGTCATGTATGACTTTTTTTGGTACAGGGTCTGGACTGAAAAATCTTAAGGTTCTTCTAGCAGCTACAATTTTATAAAATTCAGAAGCCCGATGAAGCAATTCTGCTTCCGTGGGCCTTGTGTAATTATATAGAATATGTTCTAAGTCTATCGGTAGTGCAGGTTCCTCACAATCTTCTAATCTTTCTTCACCGATGTCTGAAAAGAAATATTATAACTCAAGACCTTTTGCTTTAAATTAGACTTAACGTACATTCAGAATAGTTATTGGAAGTATCTATCGTATAAGATAAAATAAAATGGATTTGGCATAATATTAAAATTAATTTTGTATTCTAAATTACATATAGCTTTCAGTAACTCTAGCTTTACAAATCCAAGACTGGTNCTTTCTTTTCTTCTTCTTCTTCTTCTTCTTCTTTTTTTATTTTAGTAACTTTAGGGTCACTTAATGACGTGGAATTGTGTATTAGGTGTCGCGTGCGAGAGAGAGAGAGAGAGAGAGAGAGAGAAAGTGAGAGAGAGAGAGAGAGAGAGAGAGTTAGTCTTATAAAAAACGTATTTTGAGTTTGACTTTGATTCAACGTGGTGAGTTTACATTTTATATCGCTTATTTTTTAACACACTGTATGCAAATTTGAATAAACATTAGTTTATGTAAACCGAATCGCTAACTTTTAGACAGTCTTATTGTGTGCCATGGAAAATTTTTCTGAATGCAGAAAGGATAATACATGATAAATAACGATAGAACTTCTTCGGGTGCTATACTTCAGGGATTAGTTTCCCTTTTGAACATTTTAGGATTAACTTTGTAAGATCAGAAGTCATGTCATGACCAAGGAAAACTATATTCTATAATTATAATAAATAATATATATTTGCGAAAGTGTAATGTAAGGTATCCATAAGCAAGAAACAATACTCAAGGAAATATAAGTTTTTTTATGAAAAGAAAAATAGGATTTGTATAAATTTATGATTACGTGTACTCATTTTATATTGTTCCACAAACACAGCAAATATTCCAATGTTCTGAACGGAGTATTCGCGAGGCAGATTTTGTTGTTACATGCGTGTCACTCAATTTCTACTAAAATATCGGATAGAGGTTTTCGTTGAAGATCAGGCACAGTAGCATCCTTTGCTGGATATCCCACTGGCAGTAGTACAACAAGCTTTTCATTCTGAGGACGTCCAAGAAGGTTGCGGATAGCAGGTCCACAATTTAAAGGAGTAGAAGTCAGAGTTACCAAACCTGCGTGCTAGATTTAAAATTCATATATTAAGATCCATATTATGCATAGGTACACAGTATAAGAAACTATAGTATTATAATGTTAATACTTGTATAGCGGTAATGAGAATACCACATGCGATAGATGTGCTTATTTCATTGTAATAATGAATTTTTCTTTTTCCATTTGGTAATATACCATACGTTTGTTTGAACACAAGTAACAAGTAAGGAGCAATAGTCAAGTATTCCTTCACCCAATTAGTTCTTAACGGAAGCAAATCTGTTGTCCATTTGAGCCCCATTCGCTGCTTGTAATTTATTTCTTCTTCTTTTTCAATGACGCATCGTATTTGCTCTTTCACCTTTTGGTTCGATACCACTACGAATGTCCATGGTTCTGTGTGTGCACCACTAGGCGCAGTGCCTAAAATAGACTCAAATGTGTAAGGAATTTTGTGAATGTAATTACATAATATTGTACCTGCAGCTTTTATTATGTCATGTATGACTTTTTTTGGTACAGGGTCTGGACTGAAAAATCTTAAGGTTCTTCTAGCAGCTACAATTTTATAAAATTCAGAAGCCCGATGAAGCAATTCTGCTTCCGTGGGCCTTGTGTAATTATATAGAATATGTTCTAAGTCTATCGGTAGTGCAGGTTCCTCACAATCTTCTAATCTTTCTTCACCGATGTCTGAAAAGAAATATTATAACTCAAGACCTTTTGCTTTAAATTAGACTTAACGTACATTCAGAATAGTTATTGGAAGTATCTATCGTATAAGATAAAATAAAATGGATTTGGCATAATATTAAAATTAATTTTGTATTCTAAATTACATATAGCTTTCAGTAACTCTAGCTTTACAAATCCAAGACTGGTGGCAATAATGTGGGGTATTACCTTCTAGCTGCTCCTTAGTGTTATCCAAAATGATTAAATCACGTTTATCAGTTTGTTCGAGTGCGGTACGTTTTTTCCTGACATTATAAAACAATTTTAAAAAGCTACAGGAAATAATACCGATCAGTACATGATACCAGTATTTCGTCCAAAATGGTAACAATTCAGAGAACATTTCGCAGAAAATACGTTGTTACGAATCACTATTTTACTTCTGTCATTTGTATATGTTACGAGTGATCTCAGTATAATGAAAGGCGGCAATACGAGTGGTGGGAAGCATGTGACCTCAAATATCTGAGTTATATCGCTCGCACATGAGTATACAAACAATGTTACCCCATCCCATCGCTCGCGCTAAAACATTTATTAAGTTTATTCCTGCCGATCATTTACGATACAACGAAATACTTAAGTACTCGTGTGTTTTAAATACATTATATACCTAGCAACGTTTCTAATCTTTTAAGCGCGAAAAACAAGTCAAGAACTATATAATTCTTATCATACAATTAAAACGACGATAATACCTTTTAAACCTTACGTTAACGCAGAAGAGAATAATGCGATCTATTACGAACGTTTAACTACATCTTAAGTAGTATGGTAACGATTTAATTATTCAGCGACAGAGAAACTCAGGCTATTAAGAATTACTATAAATCCATTGACGCTGGCTTAGACAATGACCTTTATTAACATCTTACTGTTGTTAAAAAACTTGTTATTACAAATAAAGTCACTGTTTACTTTTAACGGTCATCATTTATTTCGTATAGTACGTTGGGAGGAACCATTCTACGCCTAAATCGTTTCAAGCAGAATATTCCATTTTTCAGCTATGGAGATCGTATTTAATAATAGAAGATGATTAAAGTGTTTCGTTATAGCGGCGTAACAAAATCATCTCGTTTCTGCAGTCGCTCAGTATCATGGCGATGGCCCGTGTTCGAAAATCAAAAAGTTCGGCATTCGAAATTTCCAGAGAATCGATGGTAGAGATAATCAATCGACCATGAAAGTAACATCGACGTAAACAAATTAGGTTAGAACTTAAGTTCAAGGTGAAATAGAAACACGGATGACACGCATTAGCAGACAGTTATAGTGCATTTTCGTTTTACTCGCGTTTTATTTCTTTTTGACGACATATCAAGATTCTTGAATATAGTGCAGTAATGGTATTCAGTCCATACTTCGCCCATTTTTTTAAAGTTCTAATTTAACCTATTAATCATTACAAGTAAAAGGTGATTCCATGCAATCTTGAAGAAATAAGAATAACAGAATTTAATAAAGGAATATAATGAAATATAATAAATAGATCTTGGTAGTCAAATTATTCCAATTTCAATATTAGATGAAATAGAGCAATGAATAAACTGAACAAAATGAGACAAAGAAAAATAATTCTCAGATAATAAATAAAATTGTTCATTAAATGCGTGAAATCCTTGTACAGATCTTTCTCGTATTGCATCACGTCATCATAGATATGATGAAATTAATAGTAAAATAGAATTATTCGGATTCTACTTTAAAATTTGAAAATTGACTTCGAAGAACAGACACTTGTAGTTTTATCTTTGTCGTGCAAGAATATTTTTCAGTCGATTATCTTCTGTTAGAACTTCAGTCGATAGGGGATTGATGCGAGGTGAAAGGAAAAGTGCGTTAATAGAAAAATTGATTTTTGATTTTTCCCCGTTTGCGTACTTGTTCTATTACTGTGTGTCGGTACGGTCGCTCGGCTCGGCTGACGCACCAACTAAAGGCAGTCGCAGTCGCTGTCGTACGTTGCGCGGTGCGGGTGCGCGGTGTCAAAACGTGCGTGTCTCGTCGTCGCCCGTCAAAACGGACGGACCGAAAACGTCGGTTAATCATGTAAAATGCGATGTCAACGTGAATTCGTTGGTTCGGCAATCGGCTCCCGCGACAATTAAGACGATCGGCTTCCTCGGGTCCGGGAGAACACACGTTATTCGTTGGTTCGTCGTGTTGTGCGTCAAGTAGATCTTGTCGCGCGTGTATCGACAGTCGTGCGAGCAACACAGTTCGACGGCGTACGTCCCGTCGGCAAACGAGGAGAGTCTGACAAGCGTCGTGTTCTGCGAAATGTGTTTGCTGTAAAGAAAATAAAATAGAAGAAACCGGAGATCATCGTCGGTGACAACCAATTTTGACGATAAAGAGGGGAATGGAGAACGCCATGCAGCCACCACTTCCACCGCCACCGCCACCACCCCCACCCTCGGAAATCCTTGAGAATACCAGCACGGAGCAGACGGTCACCCATGTCTTGACATTTGGTATGTTGCATTATGTTTCTTACACGTTTCGACTTGCGATGGCCACAGGAGATAGCCAAGTTTATCTTCGATTCCGATAACGCAGCTTGTCGCCCGAATGATATCGATAACGTGCCTATTTTCATTTGAAATCATGAACGTAGTTGTTGCATCGATAGCAGTTCCATGCACGCACGCGAAAGTTCGATCTACCGAATCGTAAATATATACGAAATCGTTGCTTGTCATTCCATCGGCGAGATAAAAATGGTCAGCCGAAGGAATTTGACCTTCCACGATTTTTTAGAGAAACCCGTCGACCAATCACAACCTGTATATACAGCTATTTTGAAAGTATGATGTTCCTTTTCGGTAGAACAAATCTGCTGCCTGATTTTAAGATCGTAGTTTCTTCTATCGTGAATTTTAATCAATGTTTTCCCGTCCGTCTATAAATTGATCATGGATAAGACTGTATTCTGATGAAATCTTATATTTTCCGTGAAAAGTATCTTTTTATCAGTCCTTTTGAATTTCTTGATCAATTGAAGATTACTCAGGGTGGTACAATGTGTATCAAGTGTATCAAGTTATTTTTAAATCATTTCTATATATTGTGACCGACCTAACATTGACCTGAAGCGCCTCGTGGATTTGTTTCGACCTCTTGTTCTATTTCTAATGGCTCCTCAAATAAAAAGATTGTAACACAATGCGTCAACACCTTGCGAGCACATCACATGTGCATCATTTGCTCAAAATATTTGGGTTGAAGCGTAATGACAGCGAGTCTGTTACATTGTTAACACCAAATAAGGAACCTGAGCGCAAACCATCTAAAGAACAAAACCAATATGCACATGCGAATGTCTAAATTTAGTGGCTCGCAAGCAGAGGCTGGCCATTAAAGCGAACAACCATGCTGCCATGGTTGTGAATTGTTTATCACCTTTTGTCCATGGTCTCATTTTTAAAATAACCCGACCGACCTTTGTAATTAGACTTGGGTAATCTACTTTATGCATCGGTCACATTTTCTCATTCATGAGCTTTTTCTTTTAGTATTTCAAATCAAAGCATAGTTTCATCGATTACTCAACATTCATCTGTTGAATATACAAGCTATACAGGCTAATTGACCATCTAAATTGCAAAATAAAATGAAAATCTTCATCTTCATAAACATTAAAAATCATTTGAAGCCAAGGGATTCAAGACATCACGGATAATGTAAGCACTGTTCTGTAGGATGATTCTAAAAGAAGTGTACCACGATCGTTGCGTAATAGTTATGAAATATTCAGTACCAGTTTAAGGAAATGGAATTCGTGGTAGCCTTAATAACTGGATTTTCAGCTCGACGTTCAAATTATATAGTCGTAAGCGGTCGATTTTAATTGCGTTGTCCGTCCAATTTATGAGATTTCCTATAACAACAAATGGAACAACGATCAACGAATAATCAAAGAATAATTGCATTTCAAACAGGCGGTATACCGTAGTATCGATAATTCTTTAATCATTTGTACATAAAGATTTTATGATACAAACGGTCAGAATCGTTTACACCGAGTGTACATAGTGCGTCAAATAAGTAATGAACTATGACTTTATCGATCGAATCGACGTTCTGTTTATCGACGATCGATACTGATTTTCCGATGTGCGATTCGAGCGCGTTTACTGACCAACGTCTCCCAACACCTCTCAAGTATACATAAGAAGACATTGTTCTATTCGCTCTTCCGTCGATGAGTATCTATAGCAATCACTGGCGTGTTGTAATAGGCGAATGATACGGGCTCTTTTAGGCGTACGTACATATATATCGTGAATCATAAACGTTGCTCGTGCTCCTCGAAGGCACATGCTTCCACTTCGAACTTCTCTTCGATGTGGCCCAACTGCGACACTTTCCTTATCCCCGGGACACGAACCAACATTATCTCTGGCCTCTTAAGTAACAACACATGGTAGGGGAACAGGTTTCACGATCCACGGATTCGCCCCACGCGTGCCGCAACGCGACCAATTCTTGTCCGTCGCACTGCGTCCGAAAATTCTTAGTGTCGCGTACATTGGTTACCACCGATCAACGTCACATCGCGTACATTAGTTCGACTAAACGTATTTCAATCAATCGTCTGTAATTCAATAAATTTATTGAACTCCTCGTGACTGACGTTTATTCGGGGAACCCTGGCAAGCATTCCGACACAATACATACGATATCGGTATCGTGTTGACTGCTGTGTCACCCTTATTTCAGCGACAGAATTATTAAAGCGATACACGCTTATATATTCTGCGCAACAAATTGTTTCTGGGACATCTTAATGTTTTAATTTCCATCGCATTGAATACGTCGCTTTGTATCTACTTGTACAGCGTAAATCAATTAGCTGTTCTTGACCGGTATAGGTCTAAAACGTTAGCTTCGTCTTTTGGATGATCAGAAATGTTTAGGAAAATTTCACCAAGAAGGGCGTTATATTTGTCGAAAACAATATGCTTGGATATTTTTCCCTTAAATTGTATATTCGATGAAAATATTGTGTTTAAACAAAATCTATAAAGAAAATCAAATATATACAATATAATCACAGTAACTTACACGCTTCTCAGATTGCAACAGCTAGCTGGTTAACAGGTTATTAATAGACAGTGTAGAGCATCGATCGATTAAAATTTTATATTCGATCCGATGATCGATGAAAACGAATAAATGCATTAATCGTGAGAAGGTCAACATGTTGATTCGATCGACCGATGAAAAAATTAATCGTCGATCGAAAGAGACGGTTAATAATGCTCGATGCTTTAATTATAAAAGTGGAAGGATAATTTCACGTAATTCCATGACAAATTCTCGTTGAGTGTGTCTGCTTCTGTACCTTGTTTTCAAACAAATCAACGGTATCGGTAGCCCACGATATATCTTCTTTCAATCCGAAACGTTTGAAACTGTACGAGATATGTTCGCGAAAGTAATCGCGAACGTCTTTAAAATCGCAGGCCCCGGCGTTCCGTTAATTCGATTCCGTGGTCTCGCCGAGAAATAGGATTAGCCGGTATTACGCAACGGGCCGGGCTCCTGGTCCGGTGGGTCCGTCACTGGGCGGGTCTCGGTGTTTTCCAAATCAGCTGTTAGTTGCCGGTGAAGGGTGACTCGCGTCGGCTTCGTAGTGGGGGGCGTTCGTCAGTCGACTTCGAGACTCGGGCCGGTGCGCATCGTGTCTAGTTATCGCGTACCTCGTACCATCGTGTCGTCGTCGTCGTCGTTGTGTCGTGTGTACAATCGTCCAGACACATCGTGCAGGCGCCGTGCATGTACACGAACGTTCTCGTGCGCGCACACGTCTCGCGGTCGTTTCGTTACGTGCACACGTCGAAATCTCGTTCCGTGTTTGTGGCGACGTAACGTGCTTCGTCAAGTGAAAGTGGAACGGGCCATCGCACGAAGAGACATTTCCATGGATCAGATCGAATCGGTAATTTTCCATACACGCATCGTTCGGTCACCGATACAGCCGATCGGCGGTCCTATCGTATATCTGGGGCAGTAGTGTTGTTTCAAGTGCACCGATTTGCGTCGCACGAGGAGAGAGACCCATTAGCGATCGGCTCTCGCGAAACCATATGCTCGTGGCGGCTCGCACGGCACGGCACACCGTAGTGGAAACTTCCGTGTACGTCGTCGAAGGGGAATACCGCAGTGTCCTGTTGCGTATTTAAAAATAAATACCAACGCGAAGCCCTTGCTCTCTGTCTCTCTTTCGCTCGCTCGGTTCCCCCCTACTCCACGACGTTTCGGGCGTTTCGATCGGACAGAAAGGGACAGACAGCGAGCGGTGATCTCGATATCCCTCTTTCTCCGTCTTCCACGGAACACGTGGCATCGTGGTGCGACGAGGGAATTTCTCGTGTTTGCCTTCTTTTCCCCCCTCCGTCGGATCCGCTCTCTTCTCTACGCTACTCCGTTCTCGCTACCGTTCTGCTCTTCTACTCACGCTTCTTCCCGAAACGAGGCGAGACAGCGTCGGATATTCGCGAAGGTGGCCAAGGCCGAGGCTGTGCTCTCCGTACAAGGTACGCTACTTAAGTGTGTCAGTAGGATAACGACGGCAATCCGTTTCGTTCGGGCCGGCACTTTTGCCTGACTCGGCAGAGGAATTGGAACACGACTGCATAACCAGAGAAAGGGATTGCGACACCCCGGACTTTTTTTACATCGCGAGCGCGTGAAAAAAAAAGACGCGAAATATCGACGACGGAGGGGGAGGGGGGGGGCGAGCGAGAATCCGTTGCTTACGAAGTTGCTGGGGCTCTCCGCGTCAATGATTGCGTCACGACGGCGAATGATCGACGTAAGACACGAGAAAATCGAACGAAAATATGTTGCGTGCGCTTGATTCCGTTCGATCTCGAAACGAACACTCGGACGAATTGTATACACATAAGTAAGTACGTACGCGTGTACGTACGTATCGTATATATTTCTATGTATATCGATCAGAGTCTCTCTCTCTCTCTCTCTCTGTTGTTCGGTTGGCAGTAGACGGGCGTGTGTAACACGGTTACGGTTAAGCCGATACACATGTAATCCCATTAATCGGTGTTGTTCGCTCGGCGAGGTATGCCCACTCTCGATTGTTTGGAGTTTCGACCTATCGAGGAGACGGGAAAATCGCGTTCAGGCAGGGTGAAGCCCGATGAATGGGAATCGGAACGGTTTTTCATAGTATTAGCCGCGGTGCTGCATCAAGGTCACCTTCGTTATTTCGCGTTGCAACCGGATCGCACGCGTTGACCTTTAGCCCCCGTTGTCTCTCTCTCTTGGCTATGTTTTTTCGGCGTCGGATTCGAAGAGCCGATGCGGCACGCGTTTTTAAACAAACCGACCGAGGAGATATTTCCATGGATGTTGACCGAGGATTTAGTCACCGCTTTCAGCAGCATCGCGCAGAGGTTCTCACTACGCCGTCGGCTAGCCTATCGCGAATCCGAGTCAGTCCCCGCGTTTTACGCGGAAAATGCTGGCAAATTTATCGCCAATATTGACGCAAGCCTATCGCGACGGGAAGGTCGGAAGTGCAGATTAATCTTCTCGTAATAGTCAGGAAGTATAGTATGCAGCGGTGTGAATAACTGTAGACGCGAAGTCACTTTTTACGGTTTTCACGATATCAGAACGAAAATTTCACAAAATATCGTATCAGCGTATTTCTGAAAATTTCTTGAAATAAATGATAGAAAGTAGATGATATTGGAAATATAATAGAAAATCGAAATATACAAATATGTATGATGGTTTCATCGAGTTATCGCTTAGATGTCCGTGACAATTTAAAAGTTACTTCTCTCTCGAGCCTGTAATTATGCGCACCGCTGTACAATGCGCAAGGATGCGCGTTGTTATTAAAAACCAGAGGGTGAAACTATAAGTATCCGCGTTGTACAATGCTGTCGCCGCATCGTACAGGAATTCTAACGCGCGTGGCTGAACTTTATAGTTGAAAAATTATTTGCGACCGGTGCAGAGTCGTCGGGCTTGCACGACTATCGTCCAAATTTAGCGTAGTTATACAATTGCATCGCAGCCATATGGTCCGTCGGTGTAGAATAGATAGGTGACTATAATCCGCGACCATATGGTGGGTCTAGAGTTGTGCTTATAAAAAAATGAAGTTGACCTTTCGTCGAACAGTCGGATGAACCGTGCGGTCAATAATATGACTTCGCTGTCACAACATTGTAGGATGATCAGGATTTAATGATTGCATCTATAAATAGTGCACCGAGCTTTTCATTAGATCGTAGGTCGCAGTCGCGGTGTCTTACAATCGTAACCGTAAATACGACTCCCCCGTTTGAACTTTGCATAATAGTCTCTTTGTATCTGATTACATATGTGGCGGTCGCATAGTCGCGCTAATAAGACAATACCGAGCAATTGATGTCTTCTGTGCCATCATGACGTTATATTATATGTCCAGTAAGATACTATACATTGATTCACAGTCGTAATTAATAATCGTTCTAATCTCTAGTCCGCGGATCTATCTTCGTTGCATTCGACTGTGATCCATTTCTGCCATAAACGCGTAAAATCCGCAAACGACCGAAAGCTAATCGGAAAGTATATCGTGCAGCTTTTCCTCGCGAACGCGAGCAAGACCGTAGTTACATCGCAGTAGGTGACTACAGCAGGAACGCGTTATTTCCTAAGCGTATAGTCATCGGCGTTTCGTAGTAGACCGATCCGCGGTAACAACAGAGATTATCGGCAGGCACTGTATCGAGTCCGTCCATTAGATCGAAAATTACAGCAGAGACCGGGGCTATAATGACATTCTTTTTCGCCGGCTAACTTTCCGTATTAATTACATTATTAGAGAGGACATGTAACTCGCGGCGCACGGAAACCGTTCGTAAAGCCGCCACGCGAACGGTTTTACCTGCGTCCGACCGAGCCGCTAATCGCTCCCGTGAACTGAGAACCTGCACATGTGTGTATGCGCATCGAGATAATCGTAACCGTATTACCCGGATACTAATCGTTCGGGCCCGACGCATCCGGTTATCCGGTTTTCAAGACCCACGTTCTCCGGCGCACGGTGCATTAGATTATTAAAGGAGAACCGTGGTGAAACGCCTTCGTCTTATCGAGGCGGTTTCTTATCTGCGAGCGAACGACGGACACCGAACTATAACGATACGTGGAAAACATTATCGGTTTTACGAGAACCCCGTGATCGAACCGAAAGGCAACTTTGCTTAGGCCCCGGACAAGATGATGGAATTTGAACCCTTCGTCGAAGAACGCGTGTCCTCCTCTCCATCCCCCCTCTCTCTTTCTCTCGCTCTCTCCGCCGGTTCGTAACACACGAAATCACCGTTTCTTACCCTTTCTTTCTCCCGGCGAAACAACTGTTATGAATCATGGTTTGTACTCGTTCGCCGACTGTAAAACCTTTCCGACGGATAGCACTGTTTGACCATTCGGAGCACCGATGGTGAGTCGACCAAACCGAGCGTGTTCCTGTTGGTAAACAAACTTTCGGACGCGTAGCTTTTAAATATAGACTTTTTCCGGCGAAAGCTTAAGCGGCTCCTCGCGATGTGACCAAACGAAGCAAACAAGCTTTCTTTGTGCGTAGCGCTTTCCTTGCGCGTAGTTCCGAGTACATAGAGTCACTCGGGGAAAATATGATATATAGGACGTGTTGTTTAAAACGGAATAATATTTTTGTTGGACGATAAGAGGATTACCGGTCGATGTCGTTGTTGCATCAGATTGCGCGGAACGATCGGAAGATCGACGGTGGCGCGCTTATTTATTTTGCGTAGAAAGAATTAGAGCTCGGTCGCGGGTTCTCGTCCTGGAAGAAGTCAACAAGGCGCTAGAGAATTTCCGCGTATCGAAAAACGCTGGTCATCGTGTTTGCTCTACGACTCTTCCATATTAAATTACACCGCCGGTGTGTAACGTAAAACGTGTCCCGCCGGATCATAATTGTCCCGAAGCGTAAATTGCTCCTGGAACGCGAAAATTGCCGCGGCGATTTACGCGCGGTCTCCGAAACTAAGTCCGAAGACGGACGCGCGTGGCCGATGAAAGTATTCTGCCGTGGAATTCCGATTTGATTCGGCGGACATTGTCAGCGAACGGTACCTTTCCCCACGTCTGCATTACTCATCTATTTGGAACGGCGATTTCTGGCGTTACCAACCGGCGAAAACTGGTGACCGGACGGCGGTTACGACGTTTAGGGAACTGTTTATTCGTCGGACACACAGCGCGCGCACAGTTGGTCTCTGATAGACTGTAATTTGTGGTCGAAATTCGATTCGTCAACTTTCATGCTTGCACAAGACTCTTCTCTCTTCGTATTTCGTACGATTTCAATTTGGCCGCGTCTGCTACGAAGAATCGTAGGTTTTTAGCAAGGCTTGCGAAAGAATCCTTGCAAATTTCAGTTTCACGCAGCACTTTCTTTACGCGACAGCTTAGACTGTTGCTGTTAACACTAAACCTACCAAGCAGTAATACTAACTTGTATGTACTGCTTCACAAAAGTGAGAAGAACGAATTTATTTAGAATTTGCACAGTTTTTATTATAAAACTTGCTCCAATAGTATAACTCAAATTCAAGCGTTTTCCACGAAAGAGTCTCGGAACTTCGCAGAATTGCAAAATAAGAAAGCGGTCACTTTGACCGCGGCAGGTTTAGTGTTAACGCTATGCCGTCCGCAGATCTTAGATATGATTCTTTCGTTCGACGCCGGCAAAATAGCTTGGAGATTTTAGATTTTTAAAAAAATGTCGAACGTGGCGGTAATATAAATTCCTAAAATTAAGATATGCCATCCAAGAATTTTCCTACTTAATTCTTAGTTAAATAAGCACAATGCTCTATAATTAATTTTCTGCCTTTTAACAGCCAAGAAATATCGTTCAAATGTTATTTCAGTTCTTTAAAATGGCACCACGCTGGTTTAAGCGCGGTTTCGAATTATTCGTGGATTCTTCGAAGCAGACGTTGCACGTTATTTTCTATATTTTCGACCGGTATCGAGTTTCAAAGCAAACCACGATTTTTCAGACATTTCCGACGACCTGGCAAGCAAACGACATTTCCAGCAGAACTCGCTCGGTATTCATTTCTCCGCGTGCCAGAATATTAAAGCTCGCAACGAGAATTGTTTTTCTAGATGATGCTCGACGCTTCAGTTGTTAATACGTACGTGTTCGACGTGTTAATATTTTGGCTGGTGTCGAGACGAATTTAGCGACTCGCGCTATACGATAATATTAAACCTTGAAATAACGTTGAAATCATTTTCAGCGACAGAAATCGAATTCCCAGATCACCACTGTGTGCAACGGTGTCTATGGAGTTACGTTGTTTTCCGAAATAATAACGCGCGACGCGTGTTTTTTTCCTCCGGTCGCGTTCCGAGCAACTTTATCGCTGATAGAGCGCATTGTTTACGATCCTGTCGCTGCGTGGAAGAGCGTGGATCTCCGATGTTTGCTCGCGGCATCGTAAGCCTCGGGGCCAGCCGAAACGAAAACTACGTTTTCGAAGAGTCATGCCGCGTCGAGAGCGTTTCCCCCGAGATTGTTGCACCATCGTGTCTGCGTCGCGTTGTTTGACAATTTACGCGGGATAGAAACGGGAGAGCGCAGTCGAATCACAGAATGTTAACATTTGTCCGACGCGAATCGCGAACGCTCGGCAATTCGGATTCTACAGAATGCTTCGCTATTTTAGGGCTAGAACTGTCTAGGATCGTGGAAACAACTTGTTCGCAATTTCCTGTAAAATGCCGGAAATGCATTTGATCTTGTTGAAAAGAAAAAAGAAACTCTTAAAAAAACGCGCACGGCGAATACGATTGATCGTACAAAAGGAAATAGAAATTTGCGACTTAAATATTAATCCTGTTGATCGAACCTTGAAAATTCAGCCTTTAAAATAGACTTCCTAGTAGCTAGGTTTAAAGTCTTGCGAAGCGTTCTGTACATTAAAGGTCAAAGTTCGATCGTGGAACGTGTTTGGACGATAAAGAATTCAGATATCGACGGTTCGGATGTTCGAAGTTCGCGTAAGTAACCACGCTTGTCGACAATAGTTAAGAAACATGGATGACAATTTGTATCGCGTCGACGAAGATATTAATTCTATTTTGCTATCATTTTTCATTCTATTTTTTATTTTCTTTATTTGTCGTATACAATAAATTAAAATAATACGTTACATGCTGTACTATGATACGTACTTTTGATTTAGTCGGACGTGTATTAAATTACGAAATTTTACTAAAAATCAAGGTTTTTCCTAACGTTTGTCGATAATATTGCTCGTCGAACCAGCAAAGAATCTTGTCGTCCGACTCGTCCAATCTCGTCGAAAGCAAAACGTTAACATTCCTTCATTCTGGTTGCAACAATCGTGCCAGAAAGTCGTCCGGAGAACGGACAATCGCGTGGAAAAAAGCGAGCGTGAAATTCCGTATACAATACAGAGTCAAAACGATCGATCTCTTCGATCCGGAAACGCAGTCGTGCGAGTCCAATTTCTCCGATCGGGAGCGGGTCGCATCGGTCGATTAAAAGACTAGGGGAAAGATATTCGGCACGGCCGAGAATCCGCGGTCGAGGAAAGGTTTCTGATACTTAGCAGAATTGTTATTTGTGTCGAAGGATCGACAAGAAGGTGTCGGCAAAGGAAACAAATCATTGGCCGGTGCCGGTGAAGCGGTGACCGAGCCGGGTCGAGCCGATGTTTACGACGATGCGTCATCAGTCGTTCGGTTGAACCAGGTTCGCCATAGTCGCCCCGGAAGTGATGCAGTAAGGGTGGTTGCGGAGCAGAGGCAACAAGGAGACGCCCAGAGTTTCTCCGAGATGGAGTGTTGCGAGGTAGCGAGCACCGTGAAGAATCCGGAGCACGAGAGCGGCTACTTCGAAGACGGCAGCGACGTCGAGAACATCGTCGAGGAGGCGGTTGTCGCCGAGGAAGCGAAGGGCGGTTCTACGTGTTATGGCCTGGCCAAGGCCATCGACGGCCTAGACGTCAGGGATTCCGCTGGCGAGCCAGCCGAACACTTCGAGGACAGACTCAATAGAGGTATGGTTGCGATGATTTCCTACAGAAATTCGCCGTTAATCGACGCGTATCGTCGAACAACGTTTCCCATTAAATTTCAGTTTTATTCGATTCTTGTAATAATAATATTTTGTTCGTTGAACCCTTTGCACTCGAAGCCAAATTGACGAAAAATTATTTAATTGAAATTGAATTTTGTGACTGATGCAACGGTTATCCTTTCAACAGTTCTTCAAATGTGAGTAAATTTGATGAATAAAATTATTTTGAAACGTGACATAACAATTTTTAATGGCGCCTCGGAGTCGTCATTCGAGTGGAAAGGGTTAATACTTCGTATCGGTTCTAGGAATAAAATTTGATTCGAAAGATATTTCCATTCGGTCTTTCGAGTATAATTTTATTTGTTCGATACTTCGAATCGATTTTTCGAATAAACTGTTCGTCGAGAAACATTTCGAATCGATGCACGCAGTTGTCTCATACGAACATGGAGTAAGCTAACGTGTTGTTCCAAGTAATATTTCCAATAATGTTGTTGGAGTTACTTTCGAATTTGTCCGAGCCTGTTGTAACGGCACTTTTCAATTTTCTAGTTAATTGTCCATATTTTATGAAGATTTACTGCCTGTGAAAATTCGGAAATTCTAATGTACCATTTGGATTAAGAAACAGTTATTTAAATGCGCTAGAATGTTTCTCCGATACAAAATTTTATGGCCCTCCGCAGGCAAAGGAAGCGCATGAAAGGGAATACCTCGTTACATTCCGGGGGTGCAATTAGGAAAGGGACGAGTATCGTTAAGAGTGGGATATAATTTTGGTTTTATTTTCTGAACAATACTTCCGAGTGAAGCAGTTACTACCTGCTTCACAAGGGACATTTAGTTCTGTTTCTTAAACAGGAGGGGATGGTCATTTAGTCCTGTTTCTTAAACAGGAGGGGACGGTCATTTGGCAGTAAAACCCGAGACGGCGCGAAAGGTCGGAGTTTATTACTCATTAGTCAAACTCGACGAAATACGGTGAATGCGCTTTGCAAATTCGAAGAGTATTTCCGCATGTGCGTATACCAGGGCCGGGAAGAATTTTAAGTAACTCGAGAGATAGTCCTTCGACCGACCCCTCCTCCGGGGGTGCAATTCCAGCTGCATTCGGAAAGGGACGAGTACGGTAATGTCTTCCTAACTGACGCTCAGATTCTGCACAAGAATGGACAATTCGGGAAGAGGAGAAATACGATTAGTGGAGCCTTGCAGCTCGTTTTAATGTAGTTATTAATAGTTGTTTGCAGCTCGTTTTAATAGTTGTTGACAATTCGTGACTATAAAAATGAACCGTAATATCTCCTCTTCCTAAATTGTCCATTTTTGTGGACAATCTGGGCGTCAATTAGAGAGACATTACTGTATCATAAAGTTTGGAATAAAATTTTGATTTTCCGAACAATGCTTCCGAATGAAAAGAAGCGGACAATTAATATCTGCTTGACAAAGGACATTTAGTCCTGTTTCTTGAACAGGAGGGGAGTAAAATTGTTTTACATTTGGTAGTAGAATTCCATTTACCATTTCAAAAGTCCACTTTTTGCCAAGCATTGGCGTACGCGCACCGTCGTGGTAATATCTTGAGGGGGATAATGAGTCACGCCGTGAACGCGTGTCGAAGCTCGCTCAGGTAGACAAACTCGAGCAATAAAGCAGCAGCCGTTCTGGCGCACTTTAGATACTCCCGTGGATTATTACTCGCCCATTGATTCCCTGATAAATAGACTGCTTCCTTCGGATGTTTGCCCGTGTTTACGTTCCCGTTAATTGACTCGTAAAACCACCGAGCAGAATGCGTACTCTCCGCCCTTAGGACACTTTAATCGCCTCGCGAGAGAATTTTGCAAGCGACGCTAACACCTCCCGGTGCTAAAGCTCTTTCAGGGAGACTATTTTCTGCTTTATATCGGCCTTAATGTATAAGTATTTTATTGAATTATGCAGGCTGACCCGTCTAAACGTTTCCGCATAAAAATCTCCTTCAACAGCGATGTTACAAATTACGCTCCAGATCTTCGAAGAAGTCGCGGATACATTTTCATGTTTTTCTTCCGTATTATTGTCTATTAATTTCTTATCTTTTTGCTCGTAATTTTCATCCGATCGCGCCGTCATTTGCAATTTTAATTCAGTTCCATCGTAATTCGCAATTTTAATTCAGTTCCATCGTAATTCGCAATTTTAATTCAGTTCCATCGTAATTCGCAATTTTAATTCAGTTCCATCGTAATTCGCAATTTTAATTCAACCGCATCGTGATTCGTAATCAATTGAATTCGATTATTAGAAATATTACTTTGTAATTGTAATTCTGCGCAACTCTGCTCCGAGATACATTCGATTTTTCCGCGTCTTCGACAAAAACGCAACGAGAACATGGCGCGACAGTGCGTTCAAGGTTCGCAAATATTTTCGTAGAGCAAAAATCCGTGGAAATGTCGCGGTGTCGATCATGAGAAACCGAGCCCGGGGTTGCGGGATGTTTCGAGTGCCATAAGGCTCGAGGCGACAAAGCCGAAGAGCTCACTTATCTCGCGGGAAAAACGGCCATTATCGGAATCGTTGTAACGCTGAAGTTGTTTCAACCGCGTCGAGTTTCCTCGACGCGCGGGTCGACGCGTCCGCCATTCAGATTAAGCCCGGGGACGAGCAACCCTCGTCGATTTTTAATCAGCCGTCGATCCTTGTCCTTTCCATCGACGATTATACGGCGGCGTTCTCGATCCCTCGATCATTCATTTCGCGCGGCCATGCGAACGGCGCGGCGCGCTGTTTCTGCGGTTTCTCCGAGTCATTTGCTGAAATTCAATGCAAATGTAGAGACGATTTAGCGCGGTTTTTGTTAATGGAAGGAAAGACGACTGTGTTCGATTATGTCGATCTTCTTTTTCCTCGATTCTGTCGTATCTTCGTTTGATATCTCGCGATTACGGAACTTCGTTTCTCGTTACATTTTATCGACGTTTATTGAAGTAATAAATTCTCTTTGTCCGTGAACCCTTCCGGTCGACGGTGCCGATCGTAGAGATGAGCATTATTCGAGAAGCATTTCAAATTTTAGTCGAGAAATATTTCGAATTCTATTCGAATGTATTCGAGAAATATTTCGAATTCTATTCGAATGTATTCGAGAAATATTTCGAATTCTATTCGAATATATTCGAGAACTATTTCGAATTCTATTCGAACATATTCGAGAAATATTTCGAATTCTATTCGAACATATTCGAGAAATATTTCGAATTCTATTCGAACATATTCGAGAAATATTTCGAATATATTCTTGGACTAAAATTTGATTCGAGTAAATAAATCTCGTACATTTCGAGTAAATAAATCTCGTACATTTCGAGCAAATAATTCCCGTATTTTTCGAGACCTCGATACCGCGCTAGCATTTACCAACGGTCCGATATTTTGCAATCAATGATATCGCAAGACCGAAAGAACGTTGGACAAAAGAGGGCGTCCGCGGCGTTGTCAATGAAAGTCACGTCGATTAAATACCTCCATAAGGTTCGATCTTATCGATTCGGCGTGATCGAGGCTCGTGATTAATGATTCATATCGCGCCGCGTTCGGGAATCAAGTTTCCGTCTTTCCTTCGTTTTTATTCGCGCAACCTCGGAATTTCTCCGTGTCATCGCATTGTTAGAAGAGGAGGGCGTGTGTTATATGTATTCTTGAATCGTGAATGAATCGTCGAACGTAAAGGCCACGTACGAGCCAAGCACAATGTCTGTTACGGTCGCAAGGAAAACGAGAATTGATACTGTCGCTCCTTCGGTCGCACAGTCGTTTAAAAAGCGGTGCTTCATGGCCAAAATACAAATCTACAACTTTTAGCTTTCAACAAAAATTAAATGTTAATTTTAAATGTTAATACATATATATTTGACGCGGTAATACCTTGGCTAGGGTCGAGACGAATTTAACGACTCGCTATAATAATAAGTCTTAATAAATGACTTTGTAACAACGCTGAAGTAATTTCAGAGTCTTAGAAAGCGAATTTCCAGACCTCCAAACTGTCTATGGAGTTTCGTATGTTTATGACGCCCTTAGACAAGCGATGTGCATAAACGTGAAGGTCCTGGAATGCGACTCCTTCCCCCTAACCGTAGGGGTGGCATTCGCAAATGGGCGAACATCGTAAATTCACGGATACAATCTCCATTTTACTTTCTGAACAATACTTCCGAATGAAAAGAACAGGACAATAAATACCTGTATCACAAAGGACGTCCAATCCTTTTCCTCAAACAAGGGGGTCATTTGGTGGCAAGATCCCGAGAGCACGCAAATGGGCGGAGTTTATTACTTATAAGCCGACGAATGCGATATGAATGCGCTTTGAAAACCCGGTCGAAACCCTTTTCTTTCAAATGACAAGGTGAAAGTATTTCTCCATGTGCGTATACCAGGGCTGCTGGGGAGAATTTTAAATAATTCGAGAAATGGTCCCGCGAGTGACCCCTCCGGGGGTGCAATTCTAGCGGCATTCGGAAAGGCAATGGGATACAATTTGGATTTTCCGAACAATGTTTCCGAGTGAAAAGAAGCGGGCAATTAGGAGCTGCTTCACTAATGACATTTACTGCTGTTTCTTAAGCTGGAGAGTAATTTGGTAGTAAGACCCGAGAGAACGCTTAAATGGCGGGGTTTATTACTCGTAAGCCGACCTTCATTTAACTACAGTCTTTCGGACAATCCCGGTTTTGCAAAAATGAATAATTTGGGAAGAGCAGACGCGATTATCCGAGCCTTACGGCTCGCCTTTATGACGGTCGCCGACTGTCAACGACTATAAGAACGAGCCGCAAGGCTCGAACAACGGTATCTCCTTTTCCGAAATTGTCCATTCTTGCGCGCAATTATTTTTCTACGAATTAGAATATTGTAACTCGCAAACGAAATTTGCTGTTTCGAAAAATTAGCGCATTGGACTCGGCTGCGTAATTTTCTTTTGAAAAT